AAAAAAAAAAAAAAAAAAACGTTAAAAATGTTATTTTGCTTTTTCATCAATTAATTATAGTCAATACTTTTATAATGTCATGTAGTTTTTGAAACATCAGTTTTTGAAACATCAATTATAAGTTCTATATTAAATTTTGAGCTAAATTTTGAGCTATCTGTTTGGTTTATCATTTAGATTTAATAATCATAAGTTTTATTTCACCTTTGGTCTGTAATGCTTTGTATCTGTTCGTGTTTGATGATGTTGGCTCCGTTAGGGAGCCAACAGTTGGCTCCCTAGCATTATTATTTCATGAATATAATGGTGTTACAAATCAAATTGTTGATGTTGGGCCTGTACTTATGAATACACCATATTCTTGAATGTCGCACAACATTGAAACCTTAATATGCGCCATCTTGTCTATTAATTTTTTTTTGGGTAAAATATTTTTTTTCATCCGAACTATCACGGTTTTGGTGCATCATCATATAAACTATTTTTTTTTTACAAACCACCATATGAACTATACGGGTTTGTCAATATGCCCCTTAAACCGAATAAAAAAGTGGTTTAGGGGGCAAATTGACAAACGCGTGATAGTTCATATGGTGGTTTATAAAAGTATTTAGGGGGCAAATATGGTGACCAAACAGCTTTTTCAGTCAAAACCACTTTTATATCTGGTTTAGAGGGCACATTGACAAACTTGTATAGTTCATATGGTGGTTTGTAAGAAAAAATAATTTATATGGTAATGTGCCAAAACCGTGATAGTTCGGATGGGAAAAAGTATTTTACCCATTTTTTTTCCATTGAAGTTTATAAATAACACACATAATATCAACACAAAGATCGACCACAACAGTCGAAGTCGGCTTTCAAATGGCCAAAGTGAGAGGACTTCTCGAAAGGAGCCTAAATACCATAACTCACTCACAAGAAACAAAGAAAATACAAACCTCCCACAAGCGAGAACAAAAACTCCTATAAGTGGAAAACAAAACTCCCAAAGGAAGAACCGAAACCCAACACTACAACACAGAAAATGTAGCGGCTCGTTCGATTTATAGAATTTCTCTGATTATTTTATTTCCCGAATTTATTTATTTGATATATGCTTTATTATATTGCTTTAATGTCGTCATTATTAGTACTTAAATAATATATTTAAGTGTTTGTTCGTTTTATTTTTAAATGTTCGTCGTTCCGCGATTTTGGTTTGATCGCGTAAACCGAATTAAATTATGATTTTTTGCGGATTATTTTTATTTATCGGAATTTTATTTTATTTTTCCTATGCCTTGGTTAATTGCATATTTTTATATTATTCATGGAATAATATAATTATATAGGCTCGTCCGCGCTTCAGGGAGGGAAAGTCGCTTTGGCAGCTAAGGCTTTCAATTAAAAGAGAAATTATTGGGTATATTTTTATATTATTCATGGAATAATATAATTATATAGGCTCGTCCGATTTTATTATCGATCGTCATTCGAATTTTCCGTTTAGTCGCGTAAACCGATTTTAATTTGTTTTAATTTGTTTTCGAACTATTTTGACCCGAACCTCGAATATATCATTTTGACCCAAATCCTTCTATTATTTCGGCCCCACATGACTTGAAAAACAGCCCCTTCATAACATGTCTACACTTGGTGAAAGAAAAGGGTTGAGAGTGCTAATATGAAATCATAACATGTCTACACTTGAACTCGGAAAAATCAGTTACGCAATGATGCAAAACCTCCCCCTCTCATCATACACTTGAGCTCAGAAAAATCGACCCTCCCATCCCCATCTGCATCTACCTTCATAATCATCTTCCTACAGTTCTCAGCTGCCCTCCCTTGCTGGAGCCCAAGACCGGACAGCACTGACCTCAGCTCATCTACCATTATGAAGCCGTCCAATTCACGTCAAATACGTTGAAGGCTTCCCTCGTCTCCTCATCTCCCTCACTCATGATGTTTAGGTAAAGAACCCGGAACTCGTCCATGTCGACACACCCGTCCTCGTTGGCATCGATCTTGGCAATCATGTGCGCCAGCTCAGCGTCCAGGATGAAGATGCCCATGTTCTCGAGGGACCTGCTGAGGTCGTCCCTTGTGATCCGCCTGTCCCCGTTGTGGTCGAACATTTGGAAAACTCGTTTCAGCTCGTCAGGGTCCATTATTCGAGTGGGCTCTCTTTCGTGTTGGTGTTGGTACCAAGAAGGTGGGAGATAAGTTCTCAGCTTGTTGGGCACCAAGTATAGGAAGATTGAGCTTAGGAGCTTGTGTAATTGCAACATTCTCAACAGGATGGTTGGCATTGCTGCAGCTGATTTCATTTTTGTTTGGGATAATTTTGTGAGGAATGTTAGAATATATTTTGTATATATCTTGTAGGATTAGGTTTAGGCTCATTATGTTCCTATATATATATGTGTGTACATGTCTTGTGAATAATATAACATATTTTTCCCAATTTCTCACATGGTATCAGAGCCGGTTCTATAGAACCGTGCGATGACGTACCCGTTTATGGGAGTCTGCTTCCCCACGTACCCGTTTATGGGAGTCTACTTCTAGTAGGCTTGGGGCAACCAGTTGGGCTTGGGCTTCTCGCATCCGTTTATGGAAGTCTGCTTCCCCACGTACCCATTTATGGGAGTCTACTTCTAGTAGACTTGGGGCACCCAGTTGGGCTTGGGCTTCCGAAGGACTCACAAGTGAAGGGGCGTGTTAGAATATCACTTGTGAGTTGTCCCACATCGTTCATACATGGAAAATAGACCCACCTTATAAGTCTAATGGGCTACTCCTCCTTCCACCAATTGGTTTTGGGATGGAACCCCACTTGGGCTTCATATGGGCTTTCCTCGCTTTTGGTGCGCTTCATGTTAGTGGGTCCGCACCCGTTTTGCTCCTAGTTTCTTACATACTTAACGAATTGTACACAACCAGACTTGGCCTATCCGGTGAATAAGTTGAGCAGATTTACGAGCAATCCCAGTCATGAGCACTGGAATGCTTTGAGAAGGGTACTTAAGTACTTGAGGTACACCTTTGAATATGGGCTAAACTACTCGAGATATCCAGATGTACTTGAAGGGTACTGTGATGCAAGTTGGATATCAAATTCGAGAGATTCTCGCTCCACTAGCGGATATGTTTTCTGTATTGGAGGAGGTGTAGTTTCGTGCAAATCCATAAAACAAACGTGTATAGCTCGGTCCGATGGAATCGGAGTTCATCGCTTTAGATAAAGCTGGTGAAGAAGCCGAGTGGCTTAGAAATATTTTATTATTATTATTATTATTATTATTATTATTATTATTATTATTATTTTGTATTTATATATATATTACAACTGCACAATGATGTCGTACAAATCGCACGTCAATGAATATCAGATTTTCACTAGCTGTCGAAACCGACGGAACTAGAATTTTCGGTTAGAAATTTTATGTTTCGATTCAATTATATGTTATACAATTTATAATATGAATTTATTAAATAATATTGTACACTTTCATTATCATTATTGTGTAGTTAATATAGTTTTCATAATACAGATTTGACCCGTGTACTAAATTGAAATTTAATAAAAATCTCTAGATTTGCAATTAAGCCCCTTACATTTATCAAATTCTCAAATACATGCCCTAAAATCTTGAAACATGTTCTGTACATTTACGCCTCTCATTCACCAGCAATTCTCAATTCCGTTTCACATCTCGATTCGATTTCATTCACCATAAATTTTCATCTTTCAATCGACGGTCTTCAGTGAGCTTATATTCCAGCGACGACGGCGACGGACGTCTTCAAGCATCCGCGACCATCTCGAAGGCTCCGGTATGTCGAAGGTGGATTTCGCAGCCCCGAAGCGGCGGCATCCCGCTGAGATGCGTTGCGTCGAATCACGTAATCGGTGTGAAGCTTCGGGCTGTGGCTGACGTCGACGTCTCCGGTGGCCAAAAAGCTTGCGACGGGCGGCAGAGGCGGTGTTGCAGGCCATCTCTGTGGTCGACGGCGGTCTGTCAGTGGCTGAAGGCGACTGGGAGGCGGCGGGCGGGTGGTGGTGTGTTGTCGCCGCCGGACTCTGTGTGTGTATGTGTGTGTGCGGCGGGTATGTGTGCGTGCAGTGTGTGTTTAATTTGTTGTTGAGAGAGAGAGAATGACGGGGTGGTTGGGGTGGGTCCACCACAATTATTATTTATTTTAATGACTATTATA